AGCGATCGCTTCAAACGCCAGAGCGTTATCCGCTACACCACCGAACCACGATAATCACTTCTTGTGAGACTGGTGTAGTTTTTAGTATAATTGCTTGTACTTTGCCGTAGTTGATTGGACCGAATTGATCAGTCTCTATTGGTATATAGGCTCCTGTGGGGATGCCTTGATATCACCTGTGCTCTAATAATAGTAATGATGGATAGTGACTAGCAGTGGAATCCAGGATGCGCATTTCGTCCTGTTGGGGACTCATCAGCTGGATGTACCTGCCTCCCAGTGCTGAGTGATGTTGTTCTCACCAGGATTCAAACCTCGAGAGCAATCACTTCAAACGCCAGAGAGTTATCCACTACACCACTGAGCTACAATTGTCACTTCTTGTGAGACTGGTGTAGTTTTTAGTATAATTGCTTGTACTTTGCCGTAGTTGATTGGACCGAATTGATCAGTGCATATGCCTTGTAATATCGTAATATCAAGGCATCCTCACAGGAGCCTATATACCAATAGAGACTGATCAATTCGGTCCAGTCACCGACAGTATAATACAAGCAATTATACTAGAAACTACACCAGTCGCACAAGAAGTGACAATTGTAGCTCAGTGGTGTAGTGGATAACTCTCTGGCGTTTGAAGTGATTGCTCTCGAGGTTTGAATCCTGGTGAGAACAACATCACTCAGCACTGGGAGGCAGGTACATCCAGCTGATGAGTCCCCAACAGGACGAAATGCGCATCCTGGATTCCACTGCTAGTCACTATCCATCATTACTATTATTAGAGCACAGGTGATATCAAGGCATCCCCACAGGAGCCTATATACCAATAGAGACTGATCAATCCGGTCCAATCAACGATGGTATAATATCAGCAATTATACTAAAACCTTACTGTGTTATAATTCGTACTTAAATCTACAGTAAAATCGATTTACGTTTCTTTGTGAAGTGTATCTTTTTTGTGGTTGTTCTTTTTCGTTTTAATTATTCCTCCCAAGTTCTTATTTCACTCCATTTACGCTTCTGCAGAGTATGCACATATGCACTTTAATTGTGTATAACATAAAATCACTTCTATGTTATAGTCAATAATGGTGTGATATTGCACTCAATTATGATTTTTATTTATTCATGATTATTTATCACTAATTCCACATTGTGTATTTTATAACGTGATTTTGTGTAATCTAATGTGTTAAATGTGTGATGGTAAAATTCTTATTATTTTCATTATCAACCAATCAATCAATATCAACATAGGACCAGGCATTACTGCGTAACGGTCAGAGTTGTCACACCTCATATCACTACATCAAGTAAAAAGGTAGTAACGTCCAAGATGGGGAAAACATAACTCAGTCAAAAGAAATATAAAGTACGAGAAGAAAGAAAGTAAGGATGAGAAAATGGTGAGATTCGGTATAGTGTTGTTAAGATGAGGATACTGTATGTGTGTATACATCTGCGCCACTGACTTCGGTTCTGAGCCATATCACCTAGGATCTCCAACCACTGGTTCCTCTTGTCCCGCGGACCCCAACTACCTAGTCTGCATCGCCCCACATGGCTCAAACCGACAGTCAAACACTTCATGCACTGATGCCATGTTTTAGCCTGGCCACCTCGGGGCTTTTTCCACCCTGGACCTACTTCGGCCAACAGTGTGCGACGAGGCAATCGGTGACTGGGCATACGTAGTACGTGTTCCAACCATCTCAGTCGATGAAGGTTCATAACCTCGTCAACCGACTTACTTTTTCTCCCTAAAACTCTCTGTCTGACTTGTGCATTACTCACGTGGTGCGGTGACACCACGGAATACGGCCTGTACTACGTTGGCAACGGTGGTCAAACACATGAGGAAGCCTTCTTATATCTTCCACTTTCAATGGCCATGTTTCACAGCTATACAGGGGAACAGAACGGACTGCTGTACAGTACACGCGACCCTTAGTAGACAAACGGATATCACGGCGGCGCCATAGGTGGCGTAAATTGTCAAAAGCCAATCAAGCCTTTTGTATCTGTGCAGAGATGTCATCGGCCACTGAGCCACTAGGGTTGGTCCTATTTCCCAGGTAAGTGAAGTGATCGACACCCTCAACCACTTCACTCTCTATTGTTAGCTGCAGTGGGGCACCGCTGAAGACCAGTCCTGGAGCAAAAATTTGCATTTGGGTGGTGAAAACCACGTCCCAAAGGTTCTAAAATTGACACCGAAAGTGTTCAGAAGACTCTGCATCTTGTCAGCGTGTTCACCTAACAGGACTATGTCATCTGCATATTCTAGATCTAAAGAAAATTCACCTGTGAATAGGTCAACGTCTGTGTAATTAGGGAAACCTCCATATTTTCATTATACATTGATATTATGTATTTTTGAGATGAATGGGGATTTTTAATTTAGAAGTAGTATTCATCATGGATTGACATCAGTTGGGGAACCATTGAAAATCTGGGAGCACTGGACAGCTGTTTCATCCTAGTATGGAACTCCTCAGCAGTACGTACCCATCACCTGGTTAGCGATCGAACTCAGTGCAGCGGATGCTAACTGAAGACCTTGGGTGATAGTCGCTCTATATCATTGTGAATTGACAGGAGTTGTAAATTGTGAACCACTGAAAACCAACTCAGTGGCTGAATGGTTAACGCGTTCACCGGGAAACTTGAAGGTCTTGAGTTCGATCCCTAGCCGGGTCGTGGGTACATACTGCTGAGGAGTCCCATACTAGGACGAAAAAGCTGTCCAGTGCTCCCAGATTTTCAATGGTTCCCCAACTGATGTCACTCCATGATGAATACTACTTCTACATTGATATTAGTTGAGAATAAGTATTGAAAATTTGAGAACACTGGTTGGATATTTCGTCCAAATTTTGGATTCTTTATAAGTGTATATCGAAAATGTTTGGAAAGGTGTCAGTCTATGACAATCATATCTCATGCCAAACGCCTTTCTATTCAATCATTTCTGTCAATTATCAATGTAGCACGGTCATTATGCGCAATGTTATGGGTTCAGTACTAGATTTCAACTCAATCACTATATGTTATGGACTTGATGGTTCAGAGATTTATCCATGGAGAGGGGGTCATCAGTGCACATTGCTGATTAGATCTTAATTAGAATGGAACAACTGTTTAGTGCTTCTAGGCTTTCAATGGTTCTACAACTGATTTCGACTGGTTCTGAAAGCTGTTTTCGAATCAATAAATCTTTAACAGGTTGAAATGGATGTAATTATTATTTTGATGTTAATGGGGGATTTTAATTCTGAGGTAGTATTCATCATGGACTGATATCAGTTGGAGAACCATTGAAAAAAAAATGGTAGAACTGGACAGCTATTTCGTGGTATTGTGAGACTCGTCAACAGTACGCACCCACGACCCAGCTTGGGATCGAACTCAGGACCTTCAGCGTTCACAGTGAACACGTTAACCACTCAATGATATACCGCGACTATCTTCAGTTGGCATCCACTTCCCTTCCAACTGGTTGACCATACAGGTCATGGCTTCGTATTAGAACTTCGTGACATCCATCTGGAAGCATGTCACTAGTGAGCACTATTGTTACTATTATTTTTTCCCCTTCGGTTCCTAGTGGAACATAGGGCTTCAGTAGCACGCTTCCATTCCACTCTCTTCTCTCCAGTCCCTCCACGACTACCCATTTCTTCCTCACATGATCTTCTTCATGTCACCCTCGTCTCGGATGCCAAACTCGTCGTTTCCCCTTTGGATTCCACTCGAGGGCCTGGTGTGGCGCGTGATATCCTCAATCAGCCTTCTCAGTGTATGTTCAGTTCAATCCAATCCATCTCCACTTTCTTCTTTTGGATACTTGTTTGGCGACATGTTCTTGGTTGGTTCGTTGCCAGCCAGCGAGTGTTCCTTCTTGCTTATTCTTAATATTCTGGCCATCTGGTCTTCAGTGTCGAGCGTAGGCAGCTGTTTGTAGTTTGTTGGGAATGCTTTTCGTAACGCATAAGGTTTCTGAACCATATAGAAACACTAACTTAGTTGACTGAATTAGTATTGCAAATCCAGATGTTGTTTACGCTTTATGCTGATTGCAGTAGATCTCCACACTGATTTCAGATTAATGAAGGCTTGTCTCGGTTTTCCGATCCTGGCTGCTTTGACATCCTCATCTGTGCCGCTGACACTGCCTGTAATTGAAACGATGCTGCCTTGCCTGGGTAGGTGGAAGAGACAACTTCCTTCAGATTTCTCCCGTTAATGGTGATTGGCGCTTGTTGTTGCTGTTGTATGTTGGGTATCTTCATCACCTATGTCTTCTCTACGTTCACCTGAAGTCAGTCCCGTCTTCCTTCGCTGCCCTACCTCGCCTCTTCTGCCAACTGTTGGTTTTAGCGTATAGATCTCCTAGCTTGTACCATATTAGACATAAATCATCATCGTTGGCGAAATACAAATCTTCTTCTGGGGTCTTCTTATCGATCCAGTCAGGGTGAACCCATCTTCTCGCTACTCACAGTTCGCTACATGATCCAGTCGACTACAGTGAGGAAGATGATCGGTGGTAGTAGACAGCCTTGTGTTACTCCTTCCTGTCTTCACATCAAAGGCATCACTGAGCTTTCCATTGTGAATCACTTGACATGTGGCGTCATCATAGACTGATATCAGTTAGATATCCGTGACATGTGGAGTCAACCAGTCGGGAGGGGGTGGGGGGAAGCAGGTGCCAAGGGAAGATCTTTGGTGTTAGTCGGGGTATACCGTGAATTGATGGAAGTTGGGAACTGTAAATCATTGAACTCTGAACCGGGTTGTAGGTACGTATTGTTCGGGAGTCTCATACTAGGAAGAAACAGCTATCCAGTTCTCCTTACTTTTCAATGGTTCTCCAACTGAAATCAGACAGTGATGAATACTACCTTGTAATTATTATCATTACTGTCATTATTGAGATTACCGTTAGTATTGATACAACTTTGTTTTTGTTTTTCTTTTATATTTCATAGATGGATTCTACAAGTAGCACTAAAGTGAGCAAAAGTGAAACATGTGATCTAGAAACATCATTTTAATTATGCCAATACACAATAACTCTAGTACAAGGATATATATATGTATGAGTGCGTATACTGTCTACCTGTTACAGGTTTTTTTTTTCTACTCTGGTTATGTGTTTGTGTACGCGCGTGCGTGTGAGTGAGTGTGTCTTAGTCTCATATCCACTGGCCTGCACTTGGTTAGATCTCGGTGATACTGGATAGAGTGAGTGTTGAATGTTGGTTTTGTGTTATCGAAGAAATTAGATGGAAACTGTCTACGATTATATATATATATATATATATATATATATATATATATATATATATATATATATATATATTTCATGTGATTATTATGTATAGAATATAAAAGAGTGGAAAAACATTGTCATTAATGCTTCCTCCCTCCCTACATCCCTACCTACCTACCTATCTTTCTTTATCCTTTGCAAGTACAAATATATACTACTGTCGTGACGCCATATGAAGGTAATCAGTAGTATATACACGTATCTATGTGTACGAATCGATCAATTCTTGATTTTTAACTTCTCACCTATTTTATGCTTACTAGTGTATTCATTTGATTTCTGTGATTACGCAACAATCATTTCTGCATATAATGTGCAAACACAGCGATAATTTTCTACGAAGTAGTTAGTTATTGTTCCATAATGATGCATATTACACGCATAAGTACTCTCTCTCTCTGTACAAAACGTTTCTAACTCATTCAACTTTGTTTTGATTTGTGTTTTATGACTTTGTCGGTATCTAGGGTATACTTCTCCACCTTCACCTTACGCTGCTTGTAACCTTTTTCGCATTCAACATCATTCGTTTGTTGCTTCTTACTGATATTGTCTATGTGTACATAAGCTACATGTGTGTGTGTGTGGCGGTAGCGGCGGAAATCTTTTCCTAGACAAACTTATCTTACTTTTGCACAAAAGTCGCATATGACTTGATGTCTTTCTTAGCTTACCTCTCAATAGCTTCTCATGTATACACATACATACATATGGGTTCAATAGAAGTATATTTTCTTATTGGAACAATTGAAATATCAATGAAGTGCGCATTTCTGTGTAGCATCACAGCTTACTTTATGACTGACTATGATATAATTTTAAATTTCGTCATTTCGTTCCTATGTTGCATAATCATTTTGTTTGTCTTATTTCAAACACACGTACACACATACACACACGTATATGTACAAATACTTTCAATGTAATGTCTTCTTCATCCTTCCTGGTTTATCATATGACTTTCATCAAAATACCATCAACTATCGTTTTTGTTGATAATCCACTGTGAGATAACACAGAGTAACACAGTGTGACCTATATAGAGACTGTAATGTGGAACAGGTTGCATAAAAACCTACATACAGGAGTTTTGCTGTTCTTTGTTTACATTCTGATTTGTCTAATATTGAGTTATCATTTCTCTGGGCTAAATTACACGGAAACATATATACATAGAGTTACTATTCAAGTGTTTAACTGTTTTTCTCTGTCTTCTTATCTCTATGGGCGGTTGACTGTTTGTACAATCGCATATATTTATCGCGATATATTTCTTTCTTCGATATCTTATGCTCAATCTTTCATATGCATATGTTGAATGCTTTGAGAATAGCTTCATATTTTCTGTCTTGGATCTCCTTCATCCTTTTAGAAGATAGAAACCGATATGAGGAAGGGGAGACATTTCTGTATTTAATCGAAGGTGTGTGTGTGTGTATATTTTACTGCTTGTGAACAGAATTCCCTTTTAACTTACTTATCATAATACTGTAGTACTTTGTGATGTAAGCTAGAATTGTAAGCCCATATATATATATAAATATACACATATGGATGAGAAAAATATATAACTTAACCTATGAAAAATGTCTAATTTTAATTATTACACATTTATAATGTCAGAAAGGATAGACTAACAGAGAAGATCACAAAAAGTGTATCAGTTCAAGTTGACAAATTTCAGTTCAATATTCAAAGAAAAAGTGGATAGAAAATGAATAACAAAAGTGTACGAGAGGTGAGAAGATTTTGTATTGTATCCTCTAACTATCTTCACTTATTGATTCCAATTCTCTCGATAGTGTTAAGCCTTTCTACATAGCTGAAACTAAGAGTTGAATACTTTATGGGCTGAAAATCTACAACAAAGGAGTGATATACTCAATTGTTTAATGAAAATATTCTTCCGACAATAAAGAACAACCAAGGTATTGTTGTTTTGTTCAACAATAATTGTTTATTTCATTTATAGTTGAGACGATAAACTCTTCTACACATTGACTAACTGTCAAAAGAATACAGGCTCCAGCGATAGTTCATAAATTAGAACAAAACATATAAGCGAACAATATTGTTTTCAATTATACCCTCTTCAGGCTTCATTTACTCTAATACAAAGGTCGCGGGTTCGATCCCTGCTGGTGGGGTCGTGGGTGCGCACTGCTGAGGAGTTCCATACTTGGACGAAACAGCTGTCCAGTGCTCCCAGGTTTCCTTTGTTCCTCCAACTGATGTCAGTCTATGATGAATAACAACTTGAAATAATCCCAAATCTCCACAACTCCCTCAAAATCTTATACAAATAGTTCAAGTTGTTATTCATCGAAGACTGACATCAGTTGGAGGAACAAAGGAAACCTGTAGATTTGTCGATTGATGTGATAAATATTCCTAAATAATGATAATGATAGTAATAATGATAAAAGTGATAACGTTGACCAAAGCACATGTAATATAAATGATAATGATGATAAGATCCAAGACAGCAGTATGGAAATGTAGACACTTAGATAATCAAAATGGGTCGAAAGCCTGTGAAAATAAAAGTTACGTAATAGTGAAGGTCGAAGTAAGTGGATAAACAAAGTCTAAACAAACACAGTAAGTAATATGAAAGGAGTAAAGAAGAAGAAAGGGGTAGGAAAAAACCCAATGTTAAAGTTATTAACTAAGTATTCCCTGCCTAAAGCAGAGATGTACAAACTTCTTCTAGATAAAAAGACTAGGATTATTAGCTCGAATTCCCACAGCTTCTGCTATGTGTAAAGGATGAGTTTGAATAACTTTCGAGATAGTATGCGGTGTATAATTGTGAAAGCAATGTTCTAATTTGTCAAATGATCACTATCAACGAGGTTAGATAAAACCGAACTTCTGATGCATTTTATCTGTCCTCATCTCATCCCCTTCTGGTGAAATCCATGTCACTACCTTGTCAATCTCCTTGTGTTTGTACACACTGCATCCAATCACCAAATTGTTGAATGCACAGATTTCTGTAAACAATTCTCCATTCTCGTTCATTACACCGAGTGATTCTCGACCCATTATGAGTTCTATTTCTGTGTTGTCCACTCACACTTTGTCATTCATGCTTGCACTGGTTTTATTTTCTGCTTCAGCATCCTCCTCTCCTCTATCAGGTTCCATATGTCCATCGAGATCCATTCCTAATCTTCTTTCTTCTTCCTTCCTAACATGGTTATGCAGGTTTCGTTCCACATCTCTTTCAAAGACTTCCAGTGATCATCCACACATGTTTATTGAGGGATGTCGCTCGATATATCACATTTTGTCTTGGTGGCTGCCGTGAAGATGTTCTTTGTAGTTTCATCCTTCAGTTTCCGGGTGTTGAACTTGAACTGTGGTCTATCACCAATTTTCTTCAACGCTTTCAATTTCATTTTGAATGTTCCTTGCACTGGATAGTGGTCTCAGCCTACATCTGCTCCCCTTCTTCATTTTGTGTCAAGTAGACTGCGTATCCACTTTCTTCACATTCAGATAAAGTCGATCTGATTTGCAGTGTAGTATATCCATCTGGTGAAATCCATGTCACTACCTTGTCAATCTCCTTGTGTTTGTACACACTGCTTCCAATCACCAAATTGTTGAATGCACAGATTTCTGTAAACAATTCTCCATTCTCGTTCATTACACCGAGTAATTCTGTGTTGTCCACTCACACTTTGGCATTCATGTCATCCCACCGATTAGAATGGATTTTGATGTCGCCAACTGGGTAAGAGTCTTGTCTAGTACTGATTACAGTTGTCTATAGAACTCCTCCTTCGTCTCTTCATATGCATTATTTGTAGGTGCATGGCGGAGCATTACATCAATGTGACTTTCCTTCCTTTTGAGTTGAATCCATCTTGCTGTCATGATCGTGATCCTGCAGGTGGAGATTGATTCCCACTGCATGAGAGAGAGACTTCGATGCTCTTCAAGGGGATATCATGATAGCCACTCGAAAACTCAGTGTAGTCGTGGTTGTCATCTGAGTGACAATATCGGAGTAGATTATTGACTCCTCTCCAGTTGACAGTTTGGAGAGTACACTTCCATTCCATCTACTTTCACAGATTCCAAACACTCCCATACCATACCTTCTCATCTCTCTGGCAATGCGGGCAGCCTTGTCAACCAGTTTCAAACATTGTGCAGACATTCCATGTCCCATGTTTACTTTCGCTTTCATCGAGAGAATTGAAGTCACATCGGCCAACTGGCTTCCTGAAGGCAAGCTTTCACCAACTGACGTCATTTCCTCCCTCAGATTTTAGCAAGGATTAACTTCAATTTTATGTTTTATATTTTATTTGTGCTTTGAAGTTTTTTTTTAGCGGTTGAATTGGTTTTATGTTGTAAGGTTGCTAGCCGTATGGCCGATGTTGCCTCTTTATCCGGGCTTAGGACCGGCTTGTAACTAGTGAACTAGTTAACCAGGCGAGGTTGTAAATGCGCATGGCAGTGGCAAGATCAAATACTTTATCTTTTATCTGAGCAACAACAGTTGGTTGGCTGAAAAATGATAGACAGATTTGTGCGGTGGGAAAAGTCCTCTTAGTGGCTCTAGAGGTTCTCTGATATAAAACTTCTCCGGTTAATTTTATATATATTGAGCTATTTGTATTAGAGTAAGTGAAGCCTTATATGTCTTGTTCTAATTTAAATCAGTTTTAAACCGCCAGTACTTTTAAAATAACTAACGTACAGAAA